GGATTGACCTCCAAATTATGAAAGTCGAAACAGCAGAGCCGTAAAGAGAGAGTTTGGCCAACTCTGTTTCACTGGATTCGATATACGCGCGTGTGATTGGGTGGATCGCAATCAAAGATTTTACACCAGACGTGCCCTAACCACTCTTCTTCAACTGAAATTTTATCAGCTTGTATTGGGCTCGCAATGCCTTCGCTTTTGTTTGAATTTGGGCCGTCGTTCTCTTCTCATGTCTGAGACTGGCTAATCTGTCAGCAAGCACGCCAAAAATTCCCGTTTTGTTGTTTGTTTTTTATTTTCTATCCGGTCTCTTAGCTCGGGTTGGCCCCACAAATCTACCAGGTCAGCAGTTTCCTGGTCGCTCCAAATCAATCGCATTATTATTAATTAAAATTTGAATTAACTTTTACAAAAGTAATGATTGCGTCTTGATTGAACACACATGAAGAACTCGCGGGTTTTTTATTCAAGAACTTCTAAATGCAACGGCGTCATCGACTGTGATTGGTCGACAGCCGACGAGGAAATGTCAATCTCAGTCATGCCAGGGTCAATCCAGGGTCAATATGGGTGCTGAGCCGGGATCGAGATAGGTAGATTAAGATCGAGGTCACGCCAGGCACGAGTCGGTGCAGATGCAGTCACATTACAAAAATCTTACCCGCAGTGAGTCAAGCCAGGCTTGAAACTCTAGTGTGACCGTAGCCATAATTGCCTCATATTTTCTGTTTTCGTGACATTAGGCCTATTCCAGGTAAAGGTAGTTATTTGATGATTGTTAGGTAATAGGCTGAAAGAGGGGATATTACACTTTGAGAAAAGTGTAATAACGTAAAGAATGAATAAAGATATTATAAAAGTACTGTACTGTTTAATTATTTAATAGATTATCTTGTTTATTTAGTTGACACCTTCATAATCAGTCAGCTTGTACTGTATACAGTAAGTTGAAATTTACTGCAAGCCTTACTACTGCAATATTAATAGGTCTACCTAATATAAATTATTTAAAAAAAATTATATAGACCTACAGTTTACTTATTTACAACAAGTATAAATGCTTATAAAAAATCAAGATACTGTATCCATTTTTACAAAAATAAATGTGGCAAAGACAAGCCAAACCAGTCACTCGTCGCAAATTCTTTTTCGGAGATGACGGCCAAAACATGCTGGATTGTCAAAACTTTGGAAATCTATTTTATTGCACTTAAACTAACCTTTATATCTATACTTTATGCTATGCTGTTATTTTGAATGATTTGGTGATGGTTTCTGCCTAAGAAATTCCCGAAATCATAAACTTTGAGGGCTGATTTCTCAAATAATTGTTCTTTAAACAGCTGTATGTTTAAACTCTTGAACTCTTTTAACTTCATAACGAAATGTCAGATTTAAATGATTCTTTTACCATTCTATAGCTTTCATTTTACTGTTTAACCCTTTATTAATCACAAAAAAAAAATCAATTTTTGTGATGAGTGACTGGTTTGACTTGTTTTTGCCACAAATAAATTTCTTTTTTTTAAATTTCCAAAAATAGATTTAACTTTAAAAAAATTACAAATCTCTGCAGACAAATATGAAAAATATTGTCATTTGTGTTTCCGTCTTGAT